AGGATTGTTGGGACAAAGTCACGTCGCTGACGATGAGGAGCGCGGGAGGTGAGGTGAGGAACGCGGGGCGTTGTTTCTTCGAAGCAGGGGCCCGACACCACAGGATGGTTGGAAAGAAGCGCAGGCTTAAAACAACAGGTTTCTGAAGCTCTCCTGAGGCACAGGTTTGATAGGTCGAGCGAGACGCCAGGGAGGAAGGACTGGTCAGCCAGAGGTCACGGGTAGTCAGAGGTGCACGGCCCGTGCCAGAAGCAAGAGGCGCCAGCGTTAAAGTATCTGGCGCCGGTGGTTTCCGGCCAACGTATGTCCATGATACCTACCGCGCCGCAGCGCGTTGATGTTTCGCTTTGCTATACCATTTGTACACTGCTGTACATATACACACATACATTCAAGATGTACGTATGTGTGTATATATATATATATATGCACATACGTATGCGTAGTGGATTTCGGCCAATCTCGCCACTGTGCCTGGGTCGTGGACAAGATTATACTGCCCCACGGGGCCCTTAGGTGGCCCGAAAGTTCCCCCAGGTGTCTGAAGATGGCTCCCAGACTCTCATGCCCTCCAAGCCGCCAGCGACAAACTGCACACGAAAGCACGCCGTGCCGGCGTGTCTGTCGGTCGACGAATTGCTCCAGGGAGGCGTTCGCGAACCGACGCCTCGAGAACGCTGGCAAAGGCAATGAAAAGTCAGTTCTCGTTTTCCGCAGCCGGGTGGCGTGCACTGATACCTGTGCCGCTGCTTGGGCCACAGGTTCTTCCAAGTCGTCGCGTGGACAGGGCGGTTACCATGCTGAGCGCGCTGGCGTGGTTGGTGCAATTTCGTGTTAGGGCTTGCGTTTTTCAATTGGTGGGCGACAGGCCGCCGCATGGAACGCGGGACGCCATTCGTCTTCGGCTGCGGTGCTGGCGAGGACAGTCGTGCCGAGCATTGCAGTTGTTGTGGCTGGGTCGCTGCGTTCGGCAAGCGGCGCCTCGGTCTGGCCCAGCCGCCACCCGCACAGCGCCTGAGTTCCCCTCTCCTTTTTCCCTTTGCCCATTTTCGCAACATTCAAAAAACTCGCGCAACGAGCGCTCGCATCGAGCAGCGTTTACGCGGCAGCCACTGCTTCGCGCCACGGCCTGACAACTAGCTCCAATGCGGCTGTGTCACAATTTGCTCGCCAGGCTTGCGCGGCACATGCCAGTCTTGCAGCTTTTGTAACAGTTATCTGGCAGAGCTAACCCCTTCCTCTCCTTCCCGCTCCTCTGTCGTCGTCGGTCGTCCCGTGATTGCTCCATTCCTCCCTGGTTCGTGGCCGGGCTGTTTTCTCTGGCCCACTCAAAAACATCTTCTTAGACACTACCCGGCCTGGGCAGATCAACCAGAAGAGTTGCATGCGGGACGCTATGGACGTCAGTCGGTGTCTCTTCTTTTGCGATCGTGCTGCACTTCTATGCCTGGCCGCCGTCTTGTCTCTACGCCGTGCAGGGCACGACTTGGAGGATACATTATGTTGCGCAGCGCTCGATTGACAGTGTCCCTGCCCTCCTCCTCCTCCTCCTCCTCGCTCTTGTTCGTTCTCTCCATTCCTCCCTCTTCCCCTCAGCAGTGCCGTTGTGCGATTTTGAATTGTATAAGTGGCCGCTTTGGCCACAGTGGTTGTCCGCAGAGCGTTCTTGCCCTTTTTCCTCTTCCTCGTCATCCTCCTCCTCCTCTCACTCAGCCTGCTGGGCCATTGCCTATGATGTTCTGCATCCTCCAGGGTTTGCGACCGGCGCAGGGGGGGATGGGGGGAGAAATTAGTCTTTTTTGCGCCCGCTCTTTCTCAGGCCGCGGTTCACCTCATGAGTTTGCCTGTTGCAGGTCGGCTCGTTGGTTGCACTCGGTTTGCCTGGCGACGCTTTGACTCGCATGGAATTGAGGCTGCGCAACGTGGAGATCACTTGTTTGCATTGCCGAGCAATGCAAAGCAACGCGAAGCAATGCCAAACGAAGCGAATCAACGCGAAGCAATGCAAACCAGTGTAAGAAACGCGACGCAATCTACGTAGTGCAATCTAACGTCGGCGAAGGGCGGCGACGGCCGCGACGGGGCGGCGACGGCGGCGATGTAGCCGCCAGACCGGCCGTCAGGCCCAGACGACGGGCGGCGACGGGGCGGCGACGGCGGCGACGTAGCCGCCAGACTGGCCGTCAGGCCCAGCTCCTTCAGAAAGAAATGAGAACCCCTAACTTCAAATACCGTCTGGGAAATATGTAATCCAGCGTGGACCCTAAACAGTGGTTTCTAGCATATGTACTATGTAATGCAATATACGTGGCGCAAGCTATGCGCTACAATAGCTGTAGTGAAGGCTATGTGGTGTAAGGTATGTGGTACAACGTACGAGGGACAATCTACGTGGTGCGATCTTTGGGGTGTGAGCTAGGTCGTGTAATCTGTGTGGTGCAATCAACGTGGTGCGATCAATGTGGTGCAATCTGGGTCGTGCAGTTCAAATGGTGCAACATACGCAGTGCAATATATGTGGTGTGAGCTATGTTGTGTAAGCTATGCGGCGCAAGCTATGTGGAGCAAACGTACCCATCTAGGTGGTGTGAGCTATTTGATACAAGCTATGTGGTGCAATATATGTGATCCGATATGCGGGGTGTGAACCAGCAATACATGTGGTACATCCCATGCGGTGCGATCTATGTATCTGAAAGAGCGTGTTCTACCGCTGCTGGCGGAAAACTGGGGGGGGTCACTACCGGTTCGAACCCCTCCCCCCCCCCCTTTGGAAAACCGAGGGGGGGTCACTACCGGTTCGAACCCCTCCCCCCCCCTCCCCAGTTCATCATGAAAAGGGGAGGGGCACTACTGGTTCGAACCCCCCCCCCCCCTGGAAAACCGGGGGGATCACTACCGGTTCGAACCCCCCCCCCCCTGGAAAACCGAGTGGGGGTGCGGACAGTGGTGGGGACGGTGTTGGTGGGGACAGTGGTGAGGGGACAGCGGGACAGTGGTGGGGACAATGGGACAGTGGGACAGCGGTGGGGACGGTAGTGGTGGGGACCGTGGTGGGGACAATGGTGGCAACAGGGGGGACAGTGGACAGTGGTGGGGACGGTGGTGGTGGGGACAGTGGTGTGGGGACAGAGGGGATGAGGTGGAAACAGTGGGACAGTGGAGGGTACAATGGTGGTGGGGACAGTGGTGAAGGCGGTGGCGAGGACGGCGGTGGGACAATGGGACAGAGGTACAGTGGGGACAGTGGTGGGGACAGTGGGGACAGTGGTGGGAACAGTGGGACAGCTCAATGGGACAGCGGAGGAGTCAGTGGGACAGTGGGGACAGTGGGGATACTCGGGCAGTGGTTGGGGCCGTGGAGACAGTGGGGAGAGTGGAACTGTGGTGGGAACAGTGGCGGGGACAGTGGGGACAGTGCGACAGTGGTGGGGGCACTGGTGGGGACAGTAGGGACGGTGGTGGAACCAGCGGGAACAGTGGTGGTGAGGACAGTGGCGCTGGGAACAACAGTGGGGGATGTGATGCGGACGGTGGTAGGGACCGGGAGTCGTTTGCTGGCGGTGCGTGGGGGGGGGTCGAACCGGTTGTGACCCCCCTCCGGTTTTCGAGGGGGTGGGGGGGGGTTCGAACCGGTAGTGACCCCCCCCGGTTTTCTGGATCCGGAGGGGGGGGGGGGGTCGAACCGGTAGTGACCCCCCCTCCGGTTTTCGAGGGGGAGGGGGGGGGGAGGGTTAGGGGAGGGGGGGGGGTTGCCGGGGGAAGGGGGGGGCGGGGGGAGGGGTCCAGCAGGGGGGGGGGGATTTTCAGAGGGGGGGGGGGGGGCGACCCCCGGGCTCCGGAGGAAAAGGTTGGCAATTTTCCACAGTAAAGCGGCGGTGGATCACGCTCTCTCATGTATCTATATTGTGTATGCTATGTCGGACAATGTAAGTGGTGCAAGTCATGCACTGTACCGTATGTGGTGTGAGTGATGCTGTGTAAGCTGTGTGGTGCAGCTTGAGTTGTGTGAGCTATGATTCGGAAGCTATGCGGTCCAAGCCGTGTGGTGCAATATATGTGGTGAAAGCTATGTGATGCAACTTGCGTCGGGCAATCTAAGTGGTGCGACCTGTTTGGTGGCAGGGAGGTAGTGCAAGCTATCCGCAGTGATCTATGTGGTGCGATCTATGTGGTGTCAGCTAGGTTGTGCAATCCATGTGGTACAACATATGCAGTGCAATCTATGTGGTGTGAGCTATTCGGTGTGAGCTATGCGGCGCAAGCTATGTGGAGTAGACGTGCTCTTCTAGTTGGTGTGAGCTATTTGATACAAGCTATGTGGTGCAATATATGTGGTCCGATATGCGGGGCGTTTGTGCAACCTGTGTTGTGTGTGTGAGCTATGATATGTGAGTTCTGCGGTGCAAGCTAGGGGGGCAATTCATGTATTGCAGTCTATGCTGTGTAAAATATGAAATGCAATATATGTGGTGCAAACTATGCTTTTCTGGCGCAGCGACGAGGCGGCGACGAGGCGGCGACAAGCGGCGACGGGGCAGCGATGGGGCGGCGACAAGCTGCCCGGGCCAACACAAGCTCGCGAGGAGACGGCGACGGTCGTCGGCGAGCGGCGACGGGGCGATGACAAGCTGGCTGGGGCGACACGCGAGCCTCAAAACCACGTAAGAACCCCTAAGTGCAAGACAAGCGCTGCTATTGGAATCTATCTACAGATATGTAGTGCACATATCTATCGTATCGAGGTGTATCTGGGCTCCTTGGAGATATACGAGGGGCCCAGGAATATCACTCTACCATCTTGGGCTGATCTCGGGGTATCTTGCAGTCTTGGGCCGTCTTGTAGTTCAGAGGGGCGCCTGGAAGTAAACCGTAATTCGAGCAGTGCGTGTTTCCACCATTATGTTTTTTTGTTTTTTCGCCCAATAACATTCGCAGACATCATACCAGACAGCGGGCAGGTACCCACATGGTCGAACTTGCTGTCAACGCGGCGGTGGATTTTCATATTGCGAGAGTTACAAAGGCGATATGGGCGGAGATTTTTTTGTAACGCAGCTGGAACAAACCCTGGAAGCACTTTTCCTCTACATCGCCTTCATGACTGGTCTGATCTATCTGAAGACGAATGATATGGTATTCACTCTAATCGCGGCTGGTAACTTTTATTTGTTGTGGGAGGCGATCCGGGTAAGTAAGCGCGACTTTCGTTGGGAGATCATGGAGTTCTCGGATCTGGAGGAGCTGAAGGAAGAGCCTAACACGGAGACAGGGCATTCGAAACATGCAGCATGTTGAAGCAGGCACATCAGAGAACCTCCGAGGGCCTCGGACAGCCCCGACAAGATCCGAGATCTCTGAAGACTTCAGGGGCTTCGGAGGAACGTCATGAGTCCTCCCTCGTCTACGTCCACGCACGAGGGGATGTGGCGAGGGAGCTGTCGGCTGGCCTTCTTGAAGGCAGGGTGTGCCTTGGAAGTGGCTGGAGGCTGTAGTGAAGGCTGCTCAGAGGGCACGACGGCTTCCAAGAAGCTTCTTGCCTTCTATGGAGTATCCTGTGACATTCCAGGGGTTCAGCGGGGTGAGTGGCTCTTTTTCCTGCTGGTTCTTCCTTCCCCTCCCCTCCTCCTCTCCTCTTCACTCGTCCCGCTTGTCAAGGCCCTGAGAAAGCATACTCAACTTTTGCGCGCGGCACCAGCTCCCCGAGCAGGAGGAGGACCCTTACGCCGACTGGGGCTTCTCATAGCCAGACGTAAGCAAACAGTGCGGCCTGTAATGGCGTGGTTCGCTGCGACATTGTCGGCGAGGCTGGTCTGTGAATTTGCTTGCGCTTCTCCAGGGAGGAATCGCTTTGTGCAGCCAGAGCCCTCGTCGGAAATCAACCGTCGCAGAAACCTCAATCCAGACCACATCGTTAACCGTCCACATCGTTTGCCTGACCTTGGTAGAGGCCCACTTGTCCCACCCCCTTGGGCACCGCCAACTCCCTGAAGCCCTCCGCGAAAGCTTCCGATGATTTCCAGGGATATCAGGGTACGTGGGGAGACTTCGCGAGGCCCAACCGAGTTGGAGATTAATATAGTCTGATGCAGGCATCTATGCACCACCACCGTGCCAAGCCAGGGCAATCCTGGGCCCCAGGATGTTGTATGCCCCTCCTGGCCTCGGCCAGGATGGCGTATACAAAATGCCAGGGCCGGGATAGCCCTGGCCTGGCACGGTGGTAGTGTGTAGATGCCTTCTGCGTGTAGAACTCCCACTTGCCAAGTCGATTCGCGAGTCGCCCTTTGTCGGTTCTTGAGAGGGCGTCGCGGCAGCAGGTTTGGCGGGCTGGCGCCCGCCGCGGTTGGTCCCGGGTCGTATTCACTAAAGGGTGGTTTGCTCAGAGGGGTGTTTGTCCACCCCAGAACGAGGGCAGAAACCGCTCAAAGCCTCTCCTCGAACCTCTATCCTCAAGCATGGGTCACCGTCCGCACCCCAGGGGTCGCAATCACCCTCGATCCTCCTTCCTCAACCCGATCATCGATCCTCAACCCTTCAAGTGTCCGTGGAGCTTTGCGCGCGCGTCTGGGCCGCGTTGAGGGGCCCTCCGCTGGTGAGTCTTCATTGTCCTCGTGGGGGAAGGAATCGAGCCTCGACCCTCCTCCTCCTTTCCTCCCTCCTCCTCCTTCTTCACCTCCTCCTCCTCCTCCTCCTCCTCCTCCTCCTCCTCGTCCTCCCAGTCCGTAGCCATTTTGGCTCAAGCCATTTTGGCTCAAGCCATTTTGGCTCAAGTAAAACATCAAGGCAGCTGGCCGTTCAGCTCAATTTCGTATCAACGCTCCAAGATCCGCCACGGCTGCCCTGCCTGCGGTTCCACTCCATATCCGAACGACAAAAGTCACAGGGTGGTCATTCCTCCTAACATTAATTCGATTGCAGATCGTGGGATTGGCTCTTCTCTCTCTTGGTATCGGTCAGGCAATTCGCGGTGCTCAAAAGCTGAACTCTATCGCATGCATGCAGACAGCGGCAGCTCTAGAAGTGAATCCAAAAGCAGAAGCCAAGCCAGTGATCGACGTGACCGCAGAGACCGTCGCCGAGCCGAATATCGTCGTGACCCAGACCGCGACCGACGAAGGGATTCACATCGCCGCCGTGACCGAGACCGACGCCAACATTCATCATCTTCTGGAGAAGCCGACCGCACACCACATGGACATAGTGGACGATCTAAAGGACCTATCGCACGTGATGGACCCCCTCAAAGATTTCACTCTGCAGCGGATCAAGCAGCATGGGAACGCGGAGTTCAAGCAAACTGGGAAGCGACAGCACCTTTTCCCTCTCAAGAGCAGCAAGCTTGCAGGGCTCAGCTCAACAACATGGGCGGTCAGTTGAACAGCAGGCCTTGCTTGAACATGCAACAGCAGCTCCTACATTTCCGTCGCAGGAACAACAGCAATGGCTTCCTCATCAGGCAGCTCAGGCTGCTCAACTGCGCTCTACTATTACATCAGCTGCCACTGCCGCAGCCGCCCCAGGAGTCCCAATGGCAGCTCCTGCGGATGCGCATGCTTCAGCCAGTGGTACCGCAGGGCCTTCAGCAGGCCCCTCAAAGAACCTTTGGGCCGCCTCCAGCCTCGACCCCAACATGCAGCAGGAGCTCAAGCAGCTCATGGACGCCCAGATCAACAGCATCACAGCAGCAGTTTGAAGCACCGTGGCATCTTCTCAAACTCAATTCCCTGCAGCCCTTCAGCGACACGAATCAGCCACTACCAGACGTCTTGATTGACAAGAGAATGGCCTCATCGCTATCAAAACCGCCCAGACCAATCAAGAGTCTCAGCATCGTGACCTTTGGGGCGCCATCCAGCGCATCAGTCAGCAACTCAGTCTTGGAGGAGCAGAGGCACCCATACTGGACGTGGCCAAACTATCAGACTGGGACCGCGAGCCAGACCCGACAATCTTCACCTTATCGCGCGCGCAGCCCGTCAATGCAGCTGCTGTCAGATCATCGGTTACAGAATGGTTGGGCGCAGCAGAAGTCGAACCAGGTTCACGGAGAAGGTCCCAATCGCAGATTTATTCTTCAGCTCCTTGGAGGGCGCAAGGTTGCAATTGCTAAATCAATTGCGCTCGCCAGAGCGCTCCAACTCCCAGGCCGTGGGGGTTATAAGCAGTTCACAGTTCAGACCCCAGGAGACTGCGCCATCAACAATGGCCAGTGCGTCTCGCTCTATGTCAACCCTGACAAAAATTTCAAGCGCATCCGAATGGAAACTCAAACTAAGAAGCTGCTGGCCCTCTGCCACCAACTACATTACCCCTCGCACAACTGGCGTGCGCGTCGTGATCAAGGGAGGATTTTCTGCAACACCATTCCCACTGCCAAGCTGGAACTTACCAGCATGGACGCGGCAGCGGCTATTCGTTGGAATCCGGATGCGTTGGCCAAGGTTCCCATCGACAAGGGCACCATCGCTGCAGAATTTGCCGCTCTCTACAAGGCCGAGGGCACAGCACAGTGGCTTTAGCAAGAGATGGACTCCATGACGATATTCGGCATCGGAGTCAGACCAGGCACGGTCACCAGGACGCCCCGATGAGCCAGAGGCACGTCATCATCCACTTCGCCATTTACGACCTGTCCCTGCACTTGACGTCGCCGAACCACAGCTTCATCAATCTGCTCAGCCAGCTGCTGAATGTGCACCCCCACATCACCAGGCACCTGCAGCACAGGGAAGTACCTTGCCGACTTCCACAGGGGGATCAGGACACCCCTGTTGCCCCTGAGGGACTGGAGTGCCCTCCCGATAATATTTCAGTGTCTTCGGTCATGGGAAGCCTGTGGACTGCTGTACTTCCGCGCCTTCATGCTCAGGGGGATGAGGACAACCCAGTTTTCCCCGAGGGACTGGCGAACCCTCCCGATAGTTGCTCAGTTCCCACGGGCATGGGACACCCGCACACTACTGCCCTGCCGGGACTTCTTGCACAGGGGGATCAGGACACCCCTGTTGTCCTTGAGGGGCTGGAGAGCCTTCCAGATAGCACTTCGGATGCTCAGGGCATGGCGAGCCCGCTTCCCAGCAGCAATGGAGGTCTGGTAGCACAGCACGACATACGTCACCCATCACAAGCGCTACTCCCACCTGAACAAATCGCGCCTCAACGCAGCCCCAGCTCTTCAACAGCCTCATCCTCAAGCAGCAGCACCTCGTCCCCTTACTCCACCTCGTCGAGTTCACCTTCAGCACGGCCCTCGCATTCGCGCGCCTCACGTACCTCACCTGCAGCAACATCGCAGGACTCTTCGGGGCACTACATCTGCTGGAACGCACGAGGCCTTCTTTGTCATGACGATCGCAAACGCTGGGCGAAGATCCGACAGCTCACTCCATTTCTGAAGAAGCAATCACTGGTGGCAGTGCAGGAAGTTTACGGATCGCTGTTAGAACTCCAATCTCACATCGACAAGTTCCCTTATCGATATGATGTGTTCTTTAGTGGTTGCCCCACCAGCAGATTCGAAGGCGGTCTGGCCTTCTTGGTTCCTGCGGCTGCCTCCGCGGACACCACCTTTTCCATGGTGCCCATCATCAGAGGACGCGCGGCAGTGCTGTGCATTGCTAATCACAACGCGGGCTTCGAGACGCTTTTCATGAACGTACACAATCATGATTTGATGGCAACAGACATGGTACATGTGACAGAAGCGTGGCATGCTTCACGAAGATGGGCAGCCCAATCGCCGCAGCAACGCGTGTTCATCGCCATGGGCGGCTTCAACACCAGCGCCGTACCCTCTTACAACTTCAAGCATCCATCGGCTCGCTGGCGACCAATGGCCCCTGACGGCCAATGCCAACGTGAACAAGCGCGCTGGCGTCAGCTCTTTGCGTCTCTCACGGAGATCACCCGCGACTTGCCCACGCGCTGCTCGGCGAACACACAGGCAGCGACAGCCATCGATCGCATCTTTATTTCTCTTTCTGGCATCGACCTCATGAATGTCGACGCGCACTTGAATATCCACAAAGACGGAGCTACACTGTCGAACCAGGGCCTGGGCGATCACGCGACCCTCTACTTGGTGCTTACAAATGTGACGGCGGCCCGCCCAGAGGAACAGGCCATTGACCCGAACGTCGTCCGCGACCCCTCGTACCAGGTGCACTTCAACTTCCTGAAGGACAACGTGGCTCAAGCTCATCACACTCCAACTTCCGCATGGAATCAACAAGCTCATCATCAAAGAGGCTGCTCGTCTCACCCGCAATCTTGAACAGCTTTCTTCTCTTCAGGATCTCAGCCGATGGGCGAAGCACGGACGGCTGACCACATTGCGGGCCATTGCACGCACAATTTGGCGCAAAGATAAGGACGCCGCGGCTCTTCTGATGGCGACAACAGAAATTGAACGCGCACGCTTGTGCATCACCGCGGACGGCCCCGAGCTCACGAACAGAGACGCTTTCACCCAGCTGATGGACACCACGGTCACTGCCGACTACGAGCGCCGCGTCGCCCTCGCCACCAAGCGCCAGCAGAACCACGCCGCCGAGCAGATGGACCAAGCTGGGAGCCGCTGCGCCGCCATGCAGCTCACCCGGCGAGCCCAGGCGTGGAACCCGTTCAGACGCCGTTTCGTACTCGCAGGACTTAGGATCCCAAAAGAAGGACCCGCCGATCCCTCCCCCAGTGCCACGAGCGCCCCTCAGGGAATCTTTGAAGGCTTTCAGAAATTCTGACAGCCCATCTTCTCGCACAAGCACGTGGACCCCGCGGCGGTCCGAGACTGCCTGAATGCGCACCTCCCCAAGTTCGAGTATGCGGACCTCAGGGTTCCTGCAGTTCACGATTTCCAGAAGGCCCTCCGTAAGGTTAGACATGCAGCTCCTGGCCCAGATCAAATACCATATGCAGCATGGGCCACTTCTCCTGGTTCGCCCGAAACCCTTCACGACCTGATGATGCAGATGTTTGAAACAGGTCTGGCACCCCACCAGTTCAACGACTCCGTCTTCGCCTTTCTCCCGACAGGGGATGAACCACAGGGCCTCTACGCCGTCTTCCGTGCCCCAGGAGCCACCCGCCCCCTCTCCTTAAAGAGTTGCGACGCTAAGCTGATCGCGCACGTCGTGAACATGGGCTTGGTAGACATGGTTCGGGAGCGTACGATTGACACACAGCAGGGCTTCGTCAAAGGTGGGAACTTTGGACAACACGTGCCGACACTCGATTCTGAGGCCCGTAGAGCAGGTCACTCCCCAGTTGCCCTAGATGCCTTCCCGATTCTGGTTAGCTTTGGCATGAAAGCCGCCTTCCCATCTTTGGGATGGGGGTTTTTATTTGCTTCTCTGGTGGCGCACGGTGTCCCCCCTGGACACCTTAGCGCGATTTATGCGTTATGCCGCGCCCTCGGTGCCTGGGCCCGTGTAGGAGGCCAATTGCAATACATGTTTGGAATCGGCTCTGGAGTGTTCCAAGGGTGCCCGCTCTCTGGGTCTATTTGGGCCCTGGCATTCGATGCCCCTATCCGTCATCTCACCTGCATTTTAGCTTCCCTTCCTGGATCGAATAAACTCGGAGCCTGCGCTGATGATCTGGGCCTCGTTCTCGCTGGCCTTGGGGCCCTCCCGTTCCTCCTTCCCCCCTTTCGGGCTATAGCCAGCCTCGCAGGACGCGAACTTCAGATCCAGAAGACGGTGATAGTGCCCCTTTGGGCCCACTTTTCACCCGCCGTACAGTCTCTAACCCAGCGCTTGCTAGCCTTTCTCACCCCAGAATGGAACAATATCCACGTTGCAGCTTACGCCCGCTATTTAGGCGTGCTCATAGGCCCAGGCGTCACGCTAGACATTCAGTGGAAAGCAGCTTTTGACACATACTGGCTCCGCGTAGTGTAACTTGCGGCGAGTGCACCCGGCCCAGCAGTTGCCATCAAATTATACAATCAACACATGCGTGATCACGGTACTGTCGTACGTCACGCAGTACTTTCCCTTCCCGCCCACGTTTCTAAGACATGAACGTGGCACGCTGCACAATGCATTACGCTCCCCCCCCAAACTCCTGGCGCCTCGTCGACCTCCTCGGTACTCGCTCGTGGTCGGCTTCGTCCTCCCCCACTGCCTTAATCGCGCTCTCTCTTGCTTCCGCGTGGCGCACTGCCATCGACGCACTACCCGACTGGCACCCGCTTTATCGTGCGCTAGTTTCTGCCCAGGACCAGCTCAATCCAGAACTGTCCCTCGCGTCCCTGGCCGAGGTCCGTATTCGGGCCACCGTCTCGCTACCATTTTGGAAGAGCCATGATATAGTAGAATACTGGTGCACCCTCGCGGATGGCACACCACCGTACAATGTGCCACTCACCGCGTGTATTCAAGCCAAGCGAGCTGCGGAAGACGAAAAAGTTTCTGCAGCTCGCGACGCGCGGCGTGCACGGGTCCAGCGTAGCGTTCCCTTTCGTCTGTCCTCCACGCCTCCCTCTACCCTGACACCTTTGCTGAGACCCTAGCACGCCGCCTTCTCGCAGCGCTGCCCGACCTTAACCTGCCACACGATCTGTCTGCACGCTGGCAAGTGCTAGCCAGCCATTTGTCCCGCAAGCCCCCAGCCATTCGCTGGGCAGTTTAGAAAACTCTCGCAGGAGCATGGTGGACGAGCCACCGCTTCCCTTTCGGTTCGCGCAAGACTTGCTTGCTCGGATATGATGTTTGCCCCGATCGCCTCGGTCATTACCTCACCTGTCCCCGCCTCCTGCACTTCCTTGCGTTACCTCGCTCCTTCCTTTCCCCTGACCCACTCGTCCGCATCGGCCTTGGCACGGAAGAGCAGCACATCAATCCTGAGCACTCTATAACTGAAGCCGTTCGAAGAACGGCATTGTCTTACCACTTCTATCACAATTTGCGTATCATTACGCACGCCGCGCCAAGCGCCGCGCTTCTTTACACGACAGGCACCGAGTGCCTAGCAACTGCACGGCACGCGACGCGGCCATAGACAGGGACGAGCGGACGCGCGGACACTTGCCCTCTTCTAGCGTCTTGCCCGCTTGCCCTCGTCTCGTCCTCTTGGGGTACGGTCGCTCCTCGTCCTCCCAGTCTTCTCCCCAGACCTCCTCGCGTCGTTCTTGCGGTAATGTTCTGCATCCGGGGACCCCCACTGGTTCCGAAATGATGAAATGTCCAACCATGGATCGGAACCCAGACTTCAGGGAATCCACGCTGTGAAAACATCACGGCCTCGGACGTCGGCGCCCTCTTTGCGCACAGGAGGAGGACCCCTACGCGGACCACTACAGGCAGCCAGAGCTTCGGCTCCCGACGGACCGCACGAGCTCGAATGAGCTCCCTGCCGGCGCCCAGGCCAGGCGCCCGCCGGTCGTCAGAGGAAAAAGTACCGATACCGCTACCCTTCCCTCGTGTTCTCCTCTTTCGGCCTCCTGGGAGGCCCTCGTCGCCACCACTGGGTTCGCCTCGAAATCCCAGTCAGAACGCACCTAGTCACCCCGGGAGGGGTCCAGGGAGCAGCGGTATCGGTACCTTTTGGTTTCCCCAGGTCGTCGCCGTTTTCGTCGTTGTCGTCGTCGGCGCTGCCCCATTCGCCAAGGAGAACTCAGGGTCCAGGGTCGAGCATTCCGCATGCTCTGGTGTCTTTTTGGGGCCTCCGTAGTCCGTCAGTGCGTCGTGTCGTCGTCGTCGTCGTCGTCGCCATCGTTGCCGTCTGGTGTCGGCAGCGGAGGAGGGATGAATAAGGTCTGTTTCCAGGCCTTCCGAATTGGAGCCGAGAGGATGGAATCGGAGAATCGTGCCGCCGATGCATCTGCAAGGCGGCTCGATGTGGAGCCCAATTGTTCTCCACGCCAACGGCGCCGATGCATCGCCGACGTCGCCGATACATCTTCGATGTACCGTCGATGTATTGGCCATGCCCCGCGACCTCCGATTCCATCCTCTCAGACCTCAGACCCCATTCGGAACGCATCCGTTGTCTTTATTTCGTATTTCACCAGATTTGCGCTCCTAGGGTTCAGGTCGGACGCTCGCTTATTCAGCATGAGGCACATGCCTTCATCCCCATCATCAGGCCCGTCCCTACTCGGGTTTGCTTGCCGCGTGCCGCTTAAGGTGCTGCAGTATGGACGTCCTGCTGTCTGTCGCTCTTATCCCTGATCATCGGTTTTTCAAGGGTGTCCATGGCTCGGTTGGTTCGGCTGCGTCGCTGACAGTTTATTCGGTTAGTTCGGTTCGGTCGGATGTTGTGTCGTGGGGGCTCGGTTGTTTCCTCGGGGCGTGCTGCAGATGTGGGAATGCAAGCTATGATCGAGATGGTATCGATGCTGCAGTTTGCAGTCTCATTTGCTCCAACTCCGTTGTTTCGTTGCTGCGTCGCTGCGTCCCTCCAGAGGCTGCTTACGGCCTGTGGGTTTCGATTGGTTTCGGCCTCGCTGTCGGGCCGTCGGTTTTCGGTTGTGCTGTGACCGTGAACGGCTTCATGCCCAGTGCATCCGCGATGAGCGCGGGGATGAGTGAGAGTGGGCGGGCCTAGGACTGGGATACATCGCTCCAGAGAGCTCTCAAGAAAGTTCCGGAGCGTTCTGGAACGGCCGCGGCGTCCTATACGTCTCCCAGCAGTGCAGGATCTCGGTGACCCCCGATTGGTCCCGTCCGATTTGGCCCCCGTCCTGGCCACGCCCTGTGCGGCCTGGGACGACGCTCCTCCAGCCGCCCGAAGGCCGCGCCGATCGCCCACGGCACGAGGCTGCAGGCCGCCCAGGAGCGCCGCCCGGCGGGCGCCCTCATGCCCTCCTGAGCCCTCCTTCCCTCTGGCCTCCTCCTCCCTATCTGCGCCTCCCCCTTCTCACCCTCCGTGCGGTCAACCCGCATGGTAAGGATGGGCAATTTGCCAAGGCTACCCTTGCATCCGTGCCCCTTCGGCCCATCCTTAGCGACTTTCTCTGGCCAACCTCGTGCGAAAAGCGTTAACATGGCCCTGCGAGGCCCTTGCATCCTTGCCGTGAATCCTTATCATACGGGTTCGCTGTATTTCCCCTTTCCTTGTCTTGCAGGGGATGGACGGGCGGGGGAGGGGCAGGGTGGAGGAGCAGCGAGCGGCGACTGCGGATTGGCGCAGAGTCCACCCCCTTTCGCTTCCTCGCCTGGGGCGCCCGCGCATCTCTCCCTCTGATTCTGCGACCACTTGCGAACCCTACCTGTGCGGGTCTGCTCGACGCTGGTGAATTGGACAACCCCGTTGGGATGTATCTGGCTGCAGACATTCTTCGAAATCTGAGCCGCGGCTGTCGTTTCATCAACCTGACCTGCAGGGGTAGGGTTCACAGGTGGTTTCCTACTGGTGTGGCTCAGGCAGGCCTGGGATGATGATACACCGATCCCCAGAGCTCCAGAGCGCTCTCAGAGCTTTCTGGAGCTCCCTGGAACGGCCGCGGCGCCAGGTGCATATTCCAGACCCGTCAGCCCTCAGAGATTCTCGATCTATCCGCACTCAGATCTACCCTCTTCCGTATCCATGGCCTCGAAGGCCGGGCCTTTGGTCCGAGCCTTCGTGGATACTGGGCGTTTTTTGTTCGCGGAGGCCCCGAGCGGAAAGTATCCACGGGATCGCGCCCTGGACTCCAGACCGCGAGTGCGTCAATACGGATACGTTCGCCGTCCGTGAGGACGCGCTGGTGTTCAAGAGCCCAGAGTCCTGGGACGTGCTGCGCAAGCTCGCGGCGGGGGAGGAGGCGCCGCGGCGGGCGGGCGGCCCCTCGGGCCTTCGGCCGGCTGCACATGAGAGTTGCCCTCGGAGTGCGCGTGGCCTGTCGCCTGAACGATTTTCGGGCGTCGTCGCCCGTTCCCCGGGGTCTACCTGCCTCGGGACGAGCTCCAGTGGCTGCGCCTCGCCGAGAGCGTGGATCGCCCCGAACGGCCGCCGGAGGCCCCAGTCCTGGCCCCACAGCCGAATTCAGGGGCAACGATAGGGGGGGATAGGCACAGCGGGGGATGCATCGACACGCAATCGCCCATTGATCGCCGATCGGGCGGGGCCCGATAGCCCCAACCTGCCCAGGATGGTGCGGATTCACTATCAGGGGCCGCGGGCCCATCGCCGATCTATCGGTGATGTATCGCCGATTCCAGGTCGATGCATCCCCCCATGTGCTAGACCCCCCCTATTGTTGCCCCTCACGAATGACCCGTCGCCCGAGTGACCTCTGGTGCGCTGCTGTCGTGGGACGTGGCGCCAGTCCCAGGCGCGCGGGCCGCTGTGCTGCTGCGCCGCGCGCAGCGATCGGCAGGCCACGCACCGAGGGTTCACTCCTTGCTCAGGGCCGCTCCTTTCGCGACGGCCGACTCTCGGATGATGACGTCGTGCCATCCCGCCGCAACAACCCTCGTGGCTTGGGGCTTGGGCCCGAGAGCTGCACCTATCCGCGCGGGCCCACGCGGGAGCGCGAAGGTCCTCGCGCATTCCCGCTCCGCTCGGCGCCGAGGCCCCAGAGATGTAGTCAGGTGGCACAAGGGCGGCGTGAGGAGAGCACAACGGACGTCTTCGCCTGGCCTGGGGAACGTGAGGGGGGAGGGAGGTTGAGGGTGAGGGAGGAAGGAGCGGAGGGAGGGGGGAAGGACGCCGAGTGGGAGGCAGAAGGGCCGGGGGAATAGCAAGCGCTGGAGGGGAGCATCGGAGTACAGCGGTCGAGGGAGTAACCAGGGGACGCGTACACCCCGAAGATCTCGCGGCCAACTTTCGCCACTCCGGCCGTCCCCGAGCCAGACTCACAACGACCATGCGCCAGGAGGGGAGGAGGATGTTGATCAGGAGGGGGAGAAGGAAAAAGATGATATCGAGGTCGGGTTTGGGGAGGTGGAGCGGGGTAAACGAGGTGGGGAGGAGTCGGAGGGGGGGGAGCAGGAGGAGGAGGAACGAGGACGACGAGGACGAGGACGAGGATGAGTATGAGGGGGAGGAGGATTGGGGGCGGATGATGAGGAGGAAGAGGAAACACGGAGGAGGTGGAGGGGCCAAAGACAAGCTAGGTGCGCTAGGGTCACATCTGACTTCCTACCCCTCACTCCCATCCCTTACCATGGCGTAGACCTCCTATGTATTCGTACAGTCGGATGTCGAGGAGGGCAATGATCCTAAGAGGGTACGCGATGGATGGAAAGCATGGCGTAGAAAGGCACAGCAGATCAGAGCATGCCATAGCATGGCGTGGCATTGCGTAGTTAAGCAGTGCATCACAAAGCACATCATCGCAAAGCATGGCATCGCACAGCGGTGCACAACACAGCATCGCATTGCATACCGTGGCATGACACCAGATGACTTGGAGGGTAAGTGGCTCGTCTACGAGAGGACAGGGCCTGTCCGGAATGCCGGCTCCATGTCCTACGCAACCGTGCCTGCCCGATGTGGGCACTTTCCAATGCCATGTGCCGTCCAGTAGGGGTACTATAATTTTTGAAGCCCACCCCCTCCTTTCGACACGCAGCCTCGCGTTCCCCAGACCCCCTTCAAGTTTCCCTGGGCTCCCCAGAGCATCAGGAGCCCAGGGAGACCAGCGGGAACGAGGCCAGCGCTGCAGCGGGACCACGATTTTGAATGACCGAAACGCGGACATGAGGGCAGCGCTGCAGTGGGAGCACGATTTTGGAAGAAGCGGAAACGAACGACTGAAAAACACAGGAAAACGCAATTCATGAAATCCTGTTTGCAAGAAAAATCAACCCCCGGAGAGGACGGGAGACTCTCCGGACAGAGTCAGAGGGCCGGAGGAGGGAAGGAGAAGGCGCAAATGGCATGCCCCGCTTCTGGAAATCTTGTCCTCAGTACCTGCAGCAGCTGTGCGCCGGGTTCGCGCTGCGTCGACGCGGGGGCGTCGCTGGTGCGGGCGCTCAAGGTTGAGAAGGCCACCGGCGGCCTGAACCCGGCGGCTCGAACCAGGCCAACCTTCAGCGATCTCCGCTGACGGATGCTGGTGATCCTCAGGCCGTGACGTGTGTGAGCCAGTGTGCTTACCCCGTTCAGATCCACCGATAGACTGTGTGGGCCCTCGTTGCGTTGTCTGCTGGAGGGCTTCGGCTGACAAGCACACGCTGACGCTAACGCACATGTTCTGAGGACCACCGAACATAGCGGAGAGCGCGGTGTCGGAAATACACCGTCCACGTCGACGCGACGGGAGCCAGCCGCACCCTGCAGTGGGCACGTCAAAAAGCAAGTCGGCTGCTCGCGAGTGCTTAGGCCGGCTCGGGGGCCGACATACCCTTCGGCGGGCTTCTGCGGGCTTTGGATGCCGAGCTCTCTTGCGGGGATCCGCGGGCCTTCTGCACCACCCCCCTTTCGGTCAGCTCTGGAGGCCTGGTGTTGGGCTAACACATGGCTCACTGTGCAATCGACGTTGAAGCTTCTGTTGCGGCTCTTCCGCCCGCTTCCGCCAGGGGCGAAAGGCCTTCGATCTCTAGCGTACGTGGACCCCCGTGCGCCCCACGTGCAGGCGGATGGTTGGGCATGGGACGATCGAGAACGGATGGGCGCGCTCTTGGTCCCTCCGAAACTGCAGCGGGAACGGGAGGAGGACGAGGAGGAGGAGGAGGAGGAGGAGGAGGAGGAGGTATTGTGATCTTGCCCGACAGGCCTTAGAGGCGTTTTGGGCGTTGTGTGTCTGTCTTCCTTGTGTTCTGTGCCCTCCGCCGCGCTGCCCGTCGCCCCTCTCGCGACTTGACTTGGGATCCCACCTCTGAACAACTGTCAGTTGGCATGTTTGATGATGTGGCGCCCGCACCGCAAATTCCCACCAGCCCTCTGGGCGCAGGTGGTCTAGGCGTTTCCCTTTCCAACCTCCTGCCTTTCCCTGCTCGGGAGGTTTACCTCCCCCCCCCCTCCCTGCGTTTGGACGGGGGGGGGACGGACCCATAGCAGCGTCCAAGATGGCCCAAGATGGCTCCAAGAGGGCCTCCGAGAGCGCAAGATGGCCTCCAAGATGGCCCAAGATAGCGGTAGACGGGTCAAGATAGCCTCCGACACGCGTCCAAGAGGCCTCAAGACGGCCCCAAGACGGTTTCAAGTGCCCTCCGAGGCCTCCAAGGACCCCCCCAAGATGCCAAAATCATTCAAAAACCTAAGGACAATCAATGTTTTTTGCCTTCTCGCTTGTTCGCCTCCGAAGGGCTCTTGAGGCCTCAAGATGGCCCCAAGATGGCCCAAGACAGCCCCAAGCGGGGCCCAAGAGAGCCCCAAGACGGCCCCAAGAGCGCCCAATAACGCTTCAAGAGCGGGCCAAGAGGGTCCCAAGACGGCATGTTTGAGCCTCCGAAAGGGGGGGGGGGGGGGGCAAGAATTGCCCCCCCCCCCTCACCCATTTCTTTGGCCATAGGGACCAAGACGGCCCCGAGAGGCCTCCCAGAACCCCCCCAAAGAGCCCCAAGAGGGCTCCAAGACCTTCCAAAAGAGCCCCAAGAGGGCCCCACGAAGGCCCCAAAAGAGCCCCAAGAAGCTCCAAGAAGGCCGTAAGATGACCTCAGGAGAACCCCAAGAAAGAGCCCCAGGAGGCCCCAAGAGGGGCCCAAGAGAATCCCAAGAGGGCCCCAAGATGCCTCCAAGTTTCGGAACGCACGCGAGTTTAAGATACAAGTCGGTGCAACAACCATTACGAGTCATCGAAATACCCCTCACCTCTCATCGAAGCACCATCGTAATTTGCACGGATTTCCACCTTAAACTTCAATGCGGGAAGCTATGTGTGATGCTTGTGTTCTCGAAGACGTCTGCGCGACTGCATGCGTTCTGTCACCCCTGATTCACCAACTCCCCTGGTGATCGTTTCTGGATGGGCTGGTGGGGATGCAGGGGTCGATTGGTGGTGGTGCTCATGACAATGAGGTTGACGACAGCGACCATGATGCTGATGACGGTGCTGGTGCTGGTGTTGGTGATGGTGATGATAGTACAGTTGATGAAGCATGTGTTGGCGTTGATGAAGAGTATGGTGGGGATGTTGTTGTTGGTGTTGTTGGTGTTGGTGTTGGTGTTGGTGTTGGTGTTGTTGTTGTTGTTGTTGTTGTTGTTGTTGTTGTTGTTGTTGTTGTTGTTGTTGTCGTTGTTGTTGTTGTTGTTGTTGTTGTTGGTTTTGGTGGTGGTGGTGGCGGTGACGGCGGCAATAATGGGGAGTGAGATCCCACAGCGTTCAGGCCAACGATGATCCGACGGCAGCGGGCGTCGGCGTGGCTGCAGCTGCGACATTGGAAAGGGGGGGGGAGAGGAAAAGTGGAGGTCGGTTCTCGCCGAGGGTAACCATTGCCGACACCGATCACGGCAGGGCCATCGCACGCCCGACAGCGGCAAATCCGCAGCCACCGACGTTTGTGCCACCTCCTGCCTCACATGGAAGGCCGTGCGCCGCCAGCCTGGACCATATCCGCGTCCCCAAGATTGGCACCACCTTATCGAAGACGCCTACGGCGAATCACCGCCGCCCCTTGCCTTTTGGAATCGCCCATGTGGCCGAGCGTTTTGGCAAGAGCTCCGCCAGGCTATCAGACAGTATGTTTCCCCAGCCGCTGTGAAAACCCTTCGGGGAACACTTGGGGGAGGATGGCGGGGAAGATCAGGAGGAGGGGGAGGAGGAGGAGGACGAGGAGGAGGAGGAGGAGGAGGAGGAGGCCTGACGTGGTTCGTTCCAGTTCCGGGGGGGGGTCACCATAATGGGCTGCACTAGTGCGGAGAATTGCTCATGAGGGAACATAGAATTGCTGTAGGTGCGGGGCGTGGTGGCTACCTCCAGAAGAGTGAGGAGGAGGCGGGTCATTATGACGAGGATGGGATGCAGAAGGGGGGAGGAGAAGGACCAGTGCAGACCCAAGAAGCATTGGCGATGTTGCAATACACCTTCCGTTCAAGCTCACCCTCTATAGGTCCTCCAAGAATGATTATGCACAAGTGGAAGCGCCCCGTTTTAAGACAACCGTCTGAGAACCTTCAATGGGGCCAAAACTTCAATCCTTGGACTTCAACGCCGCGAATCAAGTTTACTATTGTGTCCTGACGACCATGCACGGTGACAGGACACATTTCTTTGGACTGCAGCTCCGCGAATCAACGTAACTGATGTGCCCTGGCAATCCTTCTTCACAACCGAACACCATTTCTGTGATGCCGGCCAGAAGGATCCGTTACCATGTTGCACACAGTTGAGACGGATGAACGCGGCGTTGAGGTGAGAGCCACATTTTGAAAACCACCCGCCCTCCATCCGTGAAGCTCTGGCAAATGTGTATGACGAATGTGCGTGGCGCTAAAGCGAAAGCCACAGTTTGGAAACAACCCGCCCTTCATCCGTGAAACTCTTGCACACGTGCACGACGATTGTGCGCGGCGCTAATGCGAGAGCCCCTGAAAAATTACTCCGACGGAAGGACCCCACATGAGAATCCTCCAGGCGAATCTGGAAAAAGCCCTCACCGTCGTCCTCGTGGTTGGTGAGGCGTCCTGGCTGTCTCTTCTGCGTATATTTCTTCTCGCCCTGGCGCGGGCCCTCCCCCCGCTCCCTACATTGCCCCCGACCTCGCCCTCCTGTTTTTTTTCGCGCCCCGTCACCTCCTCGCCTGCCTTTCCATTGCATGAACTCCTGAGCTCATGGCATCTCGCAACCCAGAGTTGCCAAGATGTCTCGGGCGAAAGTGCCCGGACACCATGGGGTAGGGCACCTCCGAGGTCAGAGTTCGAAGATGTCTTAGGCGGAAGCGGCCAGACCACTAAGTGGCAGGGCATATCCGAGGTCAACGTTGCGAGGATGTCTCAGGCGGCAGTGGCTTGAACACTTCACTTCAGGGCGTTTCGGAACTCAAAGTTGCGAGGATGTCTCAGGCGAAAGTGGCCGGGCCACCATGGGGCACGGCACTTCCGATATCAGAGTTGCGAGGATATCTCAAGCGAAAGCTGCCTGAACACCTCACCCCAGGGCGTGTCGGAACCCAGAGTTGCGAGGATGTCTCAAGCGAAAATGCCTGCCATATCGACTCCCGCAGGCCCCGGGCCTCGAAAATGGCTACGGTGGCGGCGACGGCGGCGGCGGCGACGACGACGATGGCCTCGTCTTCGTCCAAGGCATCGGCGTCCGAACACGAAAATTTAAAAAGAGCATAGTAGTTTCCTGCTTCAAAGGAACGAATGTAGATCGTACTGTGAAGCGTCCCAGTGGATACGTGCCGGAACACGACCCAGAGGAAGCGCACGGGAGTTCGTCCCAGTGGATACGTGCCAGAGCACGACCCAGAGGAAGCGCACGGGAGTGCGTCCCAGTGGATACGTGCCGGAACACGACCCAGAGGAAGCGCACAGAGTGCGTCCCAGTGGATACGTGCCGGAACACGACCCAGAGGAAACGCACAGGAGTGCGTCCCAGTGGATACGTGCGGGAGCACGACCCAGAGGAAGCGCACAAGGGTGCGTCCCAGTGGATACGTGCCGAACACGACCCAGAGGAAACGCACAGGGTGCGTCCCAGTGGGTACGTGCGGGGGCACGGCCCAGAGGAAACGCACAGGGGTGCGTCCCAGTGGATACATGCCGGGAATACCGCTCTGGGAACACCACGAACACAAAGTGGCTTACAGTTGGCTCTGGACATTCAGAATGTGGCCCGGGAGTTGTGGTTTGGGAACACGCAGAACACGAAGTGGCCTACAGGTGGCTCCGGGCATTCAGGCATCCAAAATGTGGCCCGGGAGTGGTGTTCTGGGAGCACGAAGAACACGAAGTGGCCTACAGTTGGCCTCGGGCATTCAAAATGTGGCCTGGGAATGGCGTTCTGGCAGCGCGGGGGCCCAAAAGTGGCCACAGCTATAGGAATTTGATGACCCGCTCGGATTAGTAACATGATCCGCGGGCCCCATAGGGAGGGGGCTCCCGCTTGAGACTTCTTCGGGTTAGTAACGTGATTGGTTCCAGGCGTTCAAAATGTGGCCTGCGAATTGCGTTCTGGCAGCGCGAGAGCCCAAAAGTGGCGACAGTACAGGAATTTGATGACCCGCTCGGATTAGTAACATGATTCGCGGGCCCCATAGGGAGGGGGCCCCCGCTTGAGACTTCATCGGGTTAGTGGCATGATCCGCGGGCCCCATAGGGAGGGGGCTCCCGCTTGGGACTTCCGTGCAATTCACTCACAGACGAGGCCCAAGGCGAGTGAGTGAGTGACAGACTGACTGACTCGTGATGATGATGATCATCACACTCTCACGCGTACAGTCATCATCATTATATGTGAGTTCATGAGCGTGTGAGTGAGTGAGTGTTGACGAGTCAGTGAATGAGTGAATGAGTGAGTGAATGAGTGAGTGAGCGCACGAAGACAGAAGAGGAGAGGGGGTGAGGTGAGGAGGTTCCTGCGCGGGGTGCCCAGAGAAAACAATAACCCCACTTTGGATGTGGGGAAAAACAGGCCGCCTTCCATCCGTGACACTTGCAGCATGACAGAACGGAGATGCGCGGCGTTGAAGCGAAACTATAGTTTGAAAACGACCTAACATCCGTGAGGTTCGTGCAACATGTTTGCAACATGTTGAGGCGCATGCGCATGGCGCCATGGCGAAAACCACATTTTGAAAACGGCTCGCCATGCATCCGTGAAGTTCTTGCACGCTTTGGAGACGCATGTGCGCGGCGCTGAGGTGAGAACCACGTTTTGAACACCCGCCATTCATCCGCGAAGTGCTTGCAAACTTTTGAGACGAATAATCGTGGCAATACGGTGGAAACCACATTTTGCAAACGACCTGCCTTCCATCCGTGAAACTTCAGGGCTAGAAGTGGTGAGGGAGTCTCAAGCGAAGCGCCGGGCCCGCCCTACCGACACGTCTCGGGAAGCGGCACGGAGGAATTATGTGTGAGGAAAAAGGATAGTGGAGGACGAGGTGGCGGATCATTATGACGAGGAGGAGGCGGAGGAGGAGGAGGAGGAGAAAAAGGAGAAAGATGAGGAGCAGGGGGAGGATTGGGAGGATTGCGAGGATTGGGAGGGGCGGGGGGGGGGGGTGAAAGGACGGGGGTGGGGCGAAGCGATGGAGGGGAAAAGTGAGCGGGTAGGTGCAGGGACGACGGAGAAGACGAGCACGAGCATGAGGAGGATGAGGAGGATCGAGGACGGAAGGTGGAGAGAGAGCCGGCCGAGCCCGAGGTGCGCGCCGCCGGCGCCCCCCTTGTGTGCGCCGGATTCCCGATGGTGGCGCTGATCGGCGGCGGTGCCGTGGAGAGCCAGCTCCATCATCATCTTCGTCGTCGTCCTCCTCCTCACCGACAGGTGTCGTGAGAAGTCCCGAAGAAGCCAAAACAATGTTTTTTTAGTAGGTTTCCCAGGCCAGCTCAAAAGCGGTCCAAGACGGCCCACATACGCCCCGAGATGGCTTCCAGGCAGTCCAAGAAAGCCACAGGAAAGCCTAACGGGGCCCCGAGAACGCCCCCAAACAGCCCGAAGAGATCCACAAGACGGCCCTTAGGGCCCCAGAACAACCCGAAAGGGCTCCAAGACTATCAAACAGGCCCCGAAAAGAGCTTGAGAACGGCCCTAAGGCACCCCTGAGTACTTGCCCACTTGTGGATGTATTACGGTGACGCTTAGCAAATGAATTGTTATCTCGGTTAAGCATATGTCAAGAGTGTGTACATTCGTGCATGTATTTGTGTTGGCCAACGTGGACCCCAAACAGTCGCTGATAGCATACCAGGTGATGCAATCTAAGTGGGGCAAGCTGTGTGGTGCAAGCTATGTGGTGTAAGCTACGTGGTGCAATCCCAATCCATGCTACACGACCTACGGGGTGGGAGCTACGTAGTGCAACCGAAGTGGTGCAATCTAGTCGGCGTGAGCTATTTGGCGTAAGCAAAGCAGCGCAACGGAATGCAATGCAAAGCAGTTCAATGCAATGAAATACAACGCAAAGCAATGCAAAGCAACGCAACGCAATGAAAAACCACGCAATGCGATTGCAACGCGACGCAACGCACAACACAACGAAACAAGCAACGCAAGTCAATGCAAACCAATACAAATCAACAGAGCACCATGCAACGCAAAGCAATGCAATGCAATGCAATGCAATGCAATGCGATGCAACGCAAATCCATGCAACGCAATGCAAAACACTGCATTCAATGCAATGCGATTGACATGCAACGCAATGCGATTGCACTGCGATTGCGGCGCAATGCGATTGCAGCGCAATGCGATTGCAGCGCAATGCAATGCGATTGCAATGCAATGTGGCGACGAGGCGGTGGCGACGAGCGGCGACGAGGCGGCGAGCGTCGACGGGGCGACGACACGCTGGCCAGGGCGACACACGAGCCCGCGACGAGGCGGCGACGGGCGGCGACGCAAAGCAACGCAAACAGCAACACAACGCAACGCAACGCACTGCAAAGAAATGTAAAACAATCAAGCGCGATGCACAGCAACGCAGTGCAATACATTGCAACGCAATCCAAAGCACGACATATCAATACAACGCGATTGCAATGCAATGCAATGCGATTGCAATGCGAATGCAACGGTATGCGATTGAACTGCGATTGCAAGGCCAAGCGATTGCAGTGCAATGCAATGCGATTGCAATGCAATTTAGCGACGAGGCGGCGGCGACGAGCAGCGACGAGGCGGCGATGGGTGACAACGAGCAGCGACGAGGCGACAACAAGTGGCCGGGGCGGCGCACGTTGTGCAATCTATGTGGTGCAATCGAATTGAAGCGATCCACGTTGTGCAATTCATCTTGCCGAACTCGAAGTTGTCACCTCCACTGCCCGCACAAACATCACACCCACCCGCCCGCAACTTGGGTTACAAAGCCAATGCGACGGCGATAGCGGTGAGTGCTTGGCGTTGGCTGGTGCATCTCTGCGGCCGCGCCAGCCCGCGCATGCTCGCGCGCGCAGCGACCAGCTAGTGCGGCGCGACCGACACGGCCGCGGTGTCGCTGATTTGTGGGCACTTCAGCGGGCTGTTCAGTTCGAGTCAGTGACTTGGGCGGGCGCGGTATCATGGCGACGCCGACAACGGTCGACACGATGATGAGAGCAGCGACGATGGTGACAATTGTTGCGGTGACGACGGCAAGTCCAATGACGGCGCTGGTGTTGGTCACGTTCGCCGGTAACGATGACGATGTTCTCGCGTCGGTGATGAAGGTTCTGGAATGAGTTCGGCATGCGCGCGGCCGACGCGCGCGAGTGGCCCGCGTGGTGCGATTTGACACGGGCCGTTCCCCCCCAGCACGCGCGCAAAGGGCGCCTGGATGAGTCTGGCATGCGGCGCGAGAGGCCAGAAATATATATTGTGATGGCCACGTTGAGAAATTCTTTACGCTTCGCGTATCCCCACCAGCCCATCTCTCAACAGCAACTCTTGCGGAGCATGCCGGCAGTCGTGTTTTTCAGGCGTGTTTCCGCCTGCCCCCGCATATCTCCCCCGTTAGTCCTTCCTCCCGCCTCCTTGTACATCCTCCTTGTGGGGGGAGCGGGAGAAGGACGAGGCGGAGGAGGAGGGAGAGATTTGAGTCGTTTGGGGTTTCTCGTCCTGGTGTGAGTCGTTCGGGCCCTTCTTCCTGGTGTGAGTCGTTCGGGCTCTTCGTGGTGTGAGTCGTTCGGGCTCTTCGTCCTGGTGTGAGTCGTTCGGGCTTCTCGTGGTGTGAGTTGTTCGGGCCCCTCGTCCTGGTGTGAGTCGTTCGGGTCCCTCCTCCTGGTGTGACTCGTTCGGGCTCCTCGCGGTGTGAGTCGTTCGGGGCCCTCGTCGTGGTGTGAGTCGTTCGGGCTCCTCGTGGTGGCTTGTATGAGCGCTGCCCCTCCTCCTGGTGTGGCTCGTTCGGGTTCCTCGTGGTGTGAGTCGTTCGAGGCCCGCGTCGTGGTGTGAGTCGTTCGGGCTCCTCGTGGTGTGAGTCGTTCGGGCGCCTCGTCCTGGTGTAAGTCGTTCGGGAACCTCTTTGTGGTGTGAGTCGTTCGGGCTCTTCGTGGTGTGAGTCGTTCGGGCCCCTCGCCCTGGTGTGAGTCGTTCGGGCTCGTGGGGCCTCTTGGGGGCCTCTTGGAGCCTCTTGGGGCCTCTTGGGGGCCTCTTGGGGGCCTCTTGGGGGCCTCTTGGGGGCCTCTTGGGGCCTCAGGGGGCCTCTTGGGGGCCTCTTGGGGGCCTCTTGGGGCCTCAGGGGGGCTCTTGGGGGCCTCTTGGGGGCCTCTTGGGGGCCTCTTGGGGCCTCTTGGGGGCCTCCGGGGGGCCTCTTGGGAGCCTCCTGGGAGCCTCCTGGGGGCCTCTTGGGGCCATCTTGGGGCCTCTTGCGACCTCCTCAGAAGCGCAAAGGAGCGCTACCCCCTGACAAGGACAAAATCAGCCCAAAACCTTTGTAAAATCAATGATTTTGCTAAGAAGGAAGAGGAACGCGGCCCCCTCAGAAGGCCAAAATGGGGCCAACACCGTAGTAAAATCAATGTTTTTTACTTCAACGACGAGTTCAGGGACCAAACTCCCTCCCCCCCCTCGGGGCCAGAATCCTCGTGAGGGTCGTCGTTTTTTGGCCCTCCCAGGAGTCGAAAAAGACTTCTCCAACGACCCGCGGGGCGCCCTCTCCAGGTCCAGGGGGAGGGGGGAGGGGGAGGGGTAAACCCCTCCCCGAAGGGGAAGAAGGGGGGTTGAGGACAGAGAGAGCTCTCTAAACCACTCACGCCCAAAGGGCTGGTGGGACTTAAATTTTTGGTAAGATTTCGCCACCGCGCGCAAGGAAACTGGCGTTACAACGCTATGCGTATATATATATATATATATATATATATATACACGCGGGACACTCGTGTTTGAAGTCGTTTGAAGGAGTTCGGCATGCGCGCGTGCACTTATTGTAAAGGGTTCTTGCGACAGCACGCGCGCAAGCGCGTTTGAACGTTTGAACGATTTCGACACGCGCGCGCGAGAGGCCCGTTTGGTAGCATCAATGTTGACACACCTAGGGTTTCCTTCAGAATTCGCCAGAGCGCGGGCGCAGGCTTCTCTTGAGAACCCTTGTTGCGGAACCATATGTGTTTACATGTTTTCGGGGCGCTCGATTTTGAGCTTTTTACGAAGCCTACGAAACCAACATTTGTTTTAACGACGTCGGCAAGCGCGCGCGACGACGCGCGCGCGCACCTCGTCCCATGTATTGTAAGGGATTGTTTTAAATGGGTGCTGTTTGATAAACGAGTGCGCGCATTTTTTTTTGTCCGAGGGCAGGGTGGGGGGCGCGAGCTCCGGCCTGGTTTGGATGGGGCGAGTTCATATTTAGGATGGGCGTTGCGGCAGAATCGCATGTATACTACACATCCCCAGAGGGTTGCCAATATGTCCAGCCTCGGGAGGGCGGTGGATCTACATTTGGTCTTCCGGTTTGTTATTTATGAAGGATGAGTTGACGTATTCCACGCCCGTGCATTCGCCCCACTCACCCACCCGGAACTTGGTTTGCAAAACCGGTGCGGTGGCGATTACGTTGAGTGTTTGGCGTTGGTTGGTGCATGTGTGCGGCCGCGCTAGATTGCACATGCTCGCGCGCGCAGCGACCAGCTAGTGCGGCGCGACCGACGCGGCCGCGGTGGCGCTGACCGCTAGGCTAGACACCCCTCAGCGGACACTTCAGTGCGAGTCGGTGTTTGGGGCGGGCGCGGCATCATGGCGACGCCGACGACGGTGGGCGCGATTTTGAGAGTAGCGACGACGGCGACGACGGCTGCGACGACGACGGCCCTGCCAATGACGGCGCCGATGTTAATCGCGCCCGCCGATAGCGATGACGATGTCCTTGCGTGGGCGATGCAGGTTCCTGAGGGAGGTCGACATGCGCGCGCGGCCGACGCGCGCGAGTGGCCGACGTGGAATTATTTGTCGCGTGTCGCACCCCCCTCCCCCGAGAACGCGCGCAGGGGCGTTCGAATGAGTTCGACATGCGGCGCGAAGGGCCCGATTGGCAGACGTGGATGAACACCTGGTATTTTCAAGCATCAGCAAGACCGCGAGCGCAAGCTTTTGTTTGAAAATTGCGGTTGCAAAACCATGTGCTTGTTGTTTAAAAGATGTGTTCGGGACGTTCCTTGTTTAAAACAATAAAGCACATCCCAACGGAATCTCCGTTACTTGAAGGAGTTTGGCGGCGCGCGCGACGACGCGCGCGTTTTTTGTTTGAATATGTGGTTTTGTGTGTTAGTTTTTTTGTTTTTTGGCATATATATATATATATACATGTATAAAAAAAGGCGAGGGAATCTCGCGACAACAGGGCTTTCGAGCGATTTCGACACGCGCGGGAGAGGCCCACTTTGTCGCACGCGGTGCATCCTTCGAACAAAAAAACGATGTAAGTTGAAAAATTCGCAAGAGCGCGGTCGCAGGTTTCTGAAAACACGTATTGCGACCCCATGCGGAAAAAAGAGGGGGCGGGGAGGCGGAGGAGGCGGGGGCG